AGACAGAAAGAGAGACAGTCAGAAACAAAATAGAGACAGAATCACAAAGACAGACTGGGACATGTAGGGACAGGAAGAGTAGCTATTCATATATATATATATATAGAAATAGAAATACATATATAGAACTCTCTACAAGTTCACCCTTACAATTTTTAGCATATGCAATAAAAGCTTGAGTGATAGTGAACATTCTGATTCAACTGATAAAAATCCCCTTTATGCTATTTAAAGCAATTGCTAAACCGGTATTCTGAAGTACAAATTTTTAGCATGAAGTTTAACATATACATATTTTATATCACATACTTACCACATCAAACTTCTGAGTAATGTTTCCTTGGACATCAAGTAAATAAACCTTGCCGTAATGTGTGCCCAGTGCCAAAAACTGTAAGAACAACAGAGGGGTCAATTAATTAATGTACTATTATACAGAATTAGCAATAAAATGATTTTCACAGTCAAGATGTTCAACGCATAAATCAGTATCTTGGAAGATATGCATTCCTTGGAGAAGGCTTGTTTCCAACTTCAGGGAAATGACAGAAGAGGGCCTATTTTATCGAGGTAGTGCAAGCTAGCTGTCAGAATGACTCATGAGGCCCTCATCTCCTGACAACTAATGGTGTGCACGCAGTCTGTACACAATGCCTGATGGACTGAGGCAGTAAATTAAAAATGCAGGCGTGAAAGCACAAACAGCCCACAGTTGAACTCAAAGTCAGAAGGGAATGATTAAGAAACTCCCCCTAATTTATGGCAAGTGTATAAATCTGTGCTATCATTTAAGTGCAATGCAAAAACACACACAAACAAGCTATTATTTTTTGAATGGATAATCCATGCCATATTGAGAGATGAAAAACCTCAGATGTCCATACACCAGCAGTTAGTTTTAGGATGCCTCTATAAACACTCCCATATAACACTGAGTATAAATGTTTATATTCTAATGTAAAAAAAAAAAAAAAATTCTCCTCTGTCACTACATAACTGTGGAGCTACATATTCACTTTATGATATAAGGCTAGTTCATAACTCCCACTGTTTCTTTACTTCTCTGATCTGACCCTAAACAAACCAGGAGAAACTTGAGGACTACCTAAAATATGAGTATTTTTTCCCTGCCTTTTCATTTCTCTAAGCATCACTCAAACAGTCCAAAATTCTCCGTATTTCATCGCATGTGAGCATGCTTCATTGCAAGCTATAATGAAATGCCCAAATTTACAGGCACTACTAAGCGTTTCAGTCAAGCAGCACAATCTTTAAAAAATAACCTTACAGAAAGGCAAGATTTAAAAGGATTTATCAAAATGGAATTGCTTAAAATGAAATTTCAGTCTGGGCACTTAAAACATGAAGCTACATTAAAGAGCAGTCTCAAAGAGGGAAGAGAAGGGGTTCATTAGAAATGCATCCCTGCAATGCCTTTCGCTCCTGCAAGGTTGCCTTTTTTCAGGAAGAAAAAAGTCCCCCGGGTAAAAAAATCAATACTGGTTAATAAAACATCAGGTGTGCAGACATAACTAGGTACGACGATGCTGCTGCACAGGCCTGCCTGAGCACACCAGGTGCCATGACGATTGGGCATCCAGGCCGATGCCGGCCTAGTGAACACAGGGCACTGGGTGCTGGAAGGGGAAGGGGACACAGAAATTCTGGGGGGAAATTAGTCTGAATATTTAAACCAAGAGGAATGCCTCCTCTGAAGCAAAAGGACATATAATCACAAACAGAGGACCCAAACAGTCGCAGCTTTATCTCTACAGTGACACTGAAAATGTTTGAATAGAAAACCAACATATAAAACATGAAAAACAAGTCATACCCCATTCAGAGGCTCTCTGTGGTAAAAGAACAGGTCTTAAAAGCTCACTGCACCCCAAGTGTCTTACAGTATTGATTCACCTCATAAATACTGTATCTACTTTGTTAGGAAGCTAAGGGAGCCTGGATCCTTAAAATGCTTTAATACTGTGTCACTCTCTAGCACTGTTATAAAGGCCATTTTTGAACTTCTAATCACATTTTAGTTTATAAAACTTGGGAGTTTCTAGCAGGGTATTTTACTTTGATACTAATTCCTTTTCTCTTTTTTGGCCAAAATTGTAAGTTTCATTCATGATAGAAAACAAAATCATTATTTTGATTTTACAGTTTTAACCTTGAGATACAATTACTTTAGAAGATTTCTGGAAAAACAAAATTCAGTGGTTTTTATGATAAGTTACTGTGTGTTTAGAAACACTCATCTGAATGAGATAAATTATTGCTACTCCTTTTCAGAAATAAAGAATTATGTATTCTCCAAAGAAAAGTTTAGTAAATCAATCATATTTACTTAAGTACCAACATCAGGAATGCATTCTACGTTCAGATGCTAAAGTTTCTGCCAGAAAACAAAGACAAAAACTGAGAAGGGCAAATTGACCAGAAATGTGACACAACCTAAACATAAACCTTTCAAATTTGACTTTCCTGAGTTTTCAATCTTTTCTTTTAACCTGAGTGTATTTGAAACATAGACTGAGTAAAGAATAAATATAATTTCATTAGCCCCCCCATGCTAAATTACAGAAATGCCCTGCCTTATAATCTACAGTGGTATCGCAGTTGTTCAATGGCTTCAAGATTGAACTTTTCACTACCTGAACAGCAAAGTTCATAAAAATTCTGCTTTGTGCTCCCAACTTTGCCCCATAGTCATACTGAAAATCCAATTTGAAAAACCTGTATAGGCCCAGAAGGAGTAAAATAACACAAAGGGATGATACCTTAGTCTAACTGCCACGCTCACCAGAAAACACACAGTGCTTACGTGAGTGCATTAAAACCTATGTCATCAGACTTTTTTTTGCACTTTAGTGGCCTAAAACATTGTAATCATGGCTCCATAGAGTGTTACCAGCAAAGGTAAGGAGAAAACCCCGATAGGACTAAGGAAAGAAAGAAAATGGATTAAGGGAAGAAATCATTGTGAAATGTGTGAAACATCCTAGAAACATGAATTCATAAGCATAATTTCAAGGCCTCAGAACCAATTCTTTGGGTTTCCGTTATTTACCTCTTAGTTGAAAAATTTGTTCAATTCTTGAACTTTTCAGCGTTTGAACACGAATTTGGAATGAGGGGAGTTCAAGAACCAAGGCCCTATACACACTGGGGACCCTGTCCCAATACTGCTTGGCCTCTTCACATCCGGACCTTATGTGGATGAAGAAGAAGAGCAGTGCTGACACCCTGAAGGCATCACCACAGAAATGAGAAGTGGCCATCTTGGGACCAGGCATGCAGTCAGCTGCCCAGGACCACCTACCTTTCTCCAAACACCAAAACTGAGAGGTCCTCAATTAAACTTAGGGAAAGACTCTCAAAACTGATGAGTTGTCTGTCTCCTGGAAACAGATAATGAGTGGCAGAGTTAAGAGCCTGAACTAAAAACTGAAATACAGGACTGTGGTGTTGTTCAATAGCACAGCACTTGCCTAGCATGTACAAGGCCCTGGGCTTGGTCCCCAGCACCACAAAAACAAAACAAAAATAAAAACTGAGATATTCTAAACTGAATCAGAATCAAAAGAAATGTGGACTTCAGATTAAGAGCCCATGTTCTCAAAGTCAGCACTGGTTCCTGTTCCCAACCTTCAGGCACTCTGGCCAAGCTGGTTTAAGGATGATGTTTAATAAAGTGCCAAATGTTGTTCTTCACTTTATTCTTGCAACTATTCATTCAACCAACACACAAAAAAGTAACTATACTGTGCTTACACAATGAATCTTAGACATTAAAGTGACTTAAAAGCTATGGTACAGTGAAGGAAATTAAAATGAAGAGTAGGCTTAAGACACAAGTGCCTCCAGACCCTACGGAACATATGCAGTATCATTAGTGCCAAAAGAAGACTTAAAAAACAGAAGTGATGGGACAGCCAGTTGGAAAAGACCATTTCAGACAGAGCAGATGCAGCCTGCTCAGTGGTGGAGAGTTCCAGAAAAAGCAGGCCAGAGTCAAGAAATTACAAGCAGTTCCACAAGGATCAAGCGTCTGATCCATATCTATGAGATGGATGGTGAGGATGGAAGAGTGGCTAACAGGCAGCATTTAAGTATTTATAGAGAGATGAAAAGGGAGAGGAGGAGACTAAAACCAGGGTGGGTTGGTCCAAATCACTGAGCAGGGTATTTTACTTTGATACTAATTCCTTCTTAGGAAGCCAGTAAAGAATTTTAATGAGGGTGGCATTATTGGATCAGAGCTTCTAGGAGATATTTAGTGCAAGTCTTCTGAATGGGCTTCCATGAAAGCAAATCTGAAGACATATAGCTGAGCTTAATGGCATACACTGGTTCCAGGGAAAGGTAACAGATAGTTGAACTGACAAGGAAAAAGGCTGAGGTGGGAGTGGACTGAAGCAGGTGAGCTGGGCACAGAACCCAAGCAGAAGGACATTGTGAGTAAAGTCTGCCACCTGCTACTGCCACAGTCCAAGAACGAAAGGCACTGGGATAAGCTCACAGAGGGCCTTCCATCCAACATGAAGGAGATCAGGCTTTGTTTAGTGGGTGATGACATAAGGATTTAAAAATCTGTTTCAACAGATCATCCTGGGTAGGAAGATGAGCTTCAAAAGGAAAACCAGAGAGGTCCAACAGATTCCCATTTGCCATGTGCAGAAGCTGACCCTGGGTTTAGGTAACAAAGAAGATAGGAAAGAGAATAAAAAGTAGATGCAAGTTGAGAAGGGCAGGATGAGCTTATTACGGAGATGCTGAGGTGCAGATAAAAGAAAACAGAAAGTAGGGATATTGAAGAGGCTGTTAGATGGCTATGCGGACTAGTCTAGTGATGATCAGAGTGTAGGTGATTACAGAAATTGAGAGATTTAAAACAAAGAAAGCTGGGTGTGATGGTGCACTTCTGTAATCCCAGCACTCGGGAGGCTGAGACAGGAGGATCATTGTGAGCTCAGACTAAATAAATAATAAAACAAAGAAAGCAGCAATTTAGCAGGGCGCTGTCTCAAAAAAAAAAAAAAAAAGAAAAGCATATTATTGTCTTTTGGTTTGTCATAGATGACTTTTATGAGACTGAGATACAGGCCATTTATTCTGATATTCTGTATGGTTTCTATCATGAATAAGTGCTGGCCTTTGTCAAAATATTTTTTTATATCTGTTGACATGGTCATGTGGTTTTGGTTTTTGGCTCTGTTGATGT